ATGGGGTTTTGGATGCAGGGAAGCTGCTCTGGTGGTATTGATGGTATTGGTGGTGGTGCTTTGGTGTGGTGTAGCTCCGGCCTTTTGGTTCGTGACTATTGTTGATATTGAAGGCTCTTGGGAATGGACATTAAGTAGTATCGTTGGATTAAAGTCTTGGATTCCTGAGCTTATGAATGTGGTTTCGTGTACATATCCAAGTACTACTAGTCGCTCATTTATGTCCATTATTGGCTCTTAGCAACAGCAGACTGTAACAGATCATGCTTATTAGGTAGTAGGTTTAGGAAAGGTCGTTAATCATCATGAAGCACACACCACCTGAACCACCCCTACTCGCTCGGTCTCCTTCCCCACACAACATGAAACTTGCCATAGATATGCACCCTTGGATCTCTTAGCTCTTTCCGCACAGAAGCCAGGAAAACCGCAACCTCCACCGGAGACCATCCGAGGACCCTAGTGCAGAGTGCAAGAGCATATGACTCGAGACTCATAATCATGACCTCGCGATGGAACCGACCGGCTTCTTTCAGTCGCTTTTCTTTGGCCCAGGGACCCATTGGGAACTATGTATGCCAAGTTAATGTCTCATAAAACAAAGGGATACCATATAGCGAAAGAAATATATAAATGAGGGTAGAACAGGATGTAAGACCTACCTTGTAAATTTTCTCCTTGACATCCGTAAATCCCGCGTCTATCATCTGTTTCTGGTGCTCCGCCGCCACATTCATCGGCCGGTTGAACTTCGTACTCGCATCAATCAGCAATCGGAAGAACTCGCCCAGCGAGGGTGCCAGGTGAAGTGTATCGTCGTCGGAGAAATGCTCCATCTCAAAGTCGGATAGTTCCAGCCATCCGCCGGGCTTCATGTGTGCATAGGCTTGACGCAGCAGCTTCGGCCAGTCGGCGATCGAACCGCCCAGGTCGCATGCACGAATGAAGTCGAAGTAGTCTCGTTTGAAGGTCCAGTCGGCTTCGACGTCGTCGACGAAGAATTCGAGGTTCGGAGGGACCCAGGCGGGTTGGATGGGGCTGAGGTCGGAACCGATTACCCGGGCGTTGGGGTGAGTGTCTGCGAAGTCGATGGCCCAGATACCTTTGATGATTTGGTTAGGGATGAACGAATAGATTTCCCGGGTTAAACAAGGGGGAGGTGTTTGGAAATGCAAACCATACCTGTGCCGGTGCCAATGTCGAAAACGTGTTCAACATCTTCTGGGATCGGGGCGTGGAACAGATCTCCGCTGAAGTGCAGATTGCGAACGTGGTGTAATAGGTCCTCGCGGTCTTGTTCTTGCTCGTCATTTGGTAGCACGCACTGCCCTTCGCGGTAGGAGTGGTATCGGCGGCCGTTCTCGTACTTGTAGTTTTTCACCTCGGAGAGCAGGGACGTGGCGTAGCTTGGGCTACCGGTGCTGCCAAGCGCGGAATCTGTCGGTGAGGGATCGTCCTCCTCTTCCTCGATTTCTAGCACCGGGATGGTGTCCTCAGCTCGCTGGACATTGCGTTCAGGGGGTGCTGATGTTGTGTTCAGGGCGGTCGGCTCTTCGGCCATCTTGGTGAGTGAGGCCGTGGATTTCTGTGGGCTTGAGGAAATCGCCTGGATATGGCCTGAGGGCTACATACTCGTGTAGGCTCCTGAGGGGAAGGCAGTCTCCGTCCGCCAACACTCTTGTCTTTGATGACTGATGACTAGGCAAGACAGGTATGGGGTGATGCCGATCCGGCGCACGAACTTGGCTAGCATAACGGTGAACTTTGCCTATCCGGGCCAAGGATACAGGGGTGCCCTTGCAACTACACCTATAATTAAACGTCCTTTCAAAGGAAACCCTTCTCTTGGCAACTTGCATAGCACTAAAACATGCATTTAACTTCCATGGTAAGCGGGATCTCGGGATTTGCTATCACATCCGTTAAGGTTTGACTGGATCCCGCTGTCATATACTAGTCGCGAGCAATCGTTTTAATTGACCACAATGAGCCAGACTGCCTCCAATTGGGTAGTCCTCGCGTAGCACGGAGAATGAAGGCAACTATGCATAGAGTCCAGATCGGTCACTGACATGGACCTTGCCGCTCGCGTCGCCCTTATGGACCATGGCTGGAAAGAGACTAGTCTACCCGCGGCCCGGGAAGCCGGGCTTGGCGGCTCATCACTGGCGCCACGTGGACAGAAGGGGAACTTGCTGGAATTGGTTGCACCTTCCACGCCTCAGGCCATAAGTACCAGTCACGTGACCGTCCATTCCCCGCTCCGTGCATTCAATGTCGGCAGGATCTATTGCATTCAATAGCCAATGACTGCTTCCATGTTTCAATTAGTTTGCCTTCGATACGGGCTGCATATCGAACTAGGATCACAGGATCAGTCTTCCTTCGACAAAGCTGATCGTCATGGAGAAGTCCTGTTACACTTGTCGCCGCAGGCGCATCGAGTGCGAAATGTCTGAGCCACCATGCAAGAAATGCAAAAAGGCCGGACTGGAATGTTTCCGAAAACGGCCCTTTCGGTGGGTCGAAGGTGCAGCCTTTCGGGGTAAGAAGAAAGCTTCTTCGGCCAGGGATGCATCTGTTGCTGCCACGAAGCGCAGCCTAGGATCACTAACAGGAGTGGGTCTATGCGCCAGGAATATAACTAATTCCGAGTCAATAGCTGTTGTTAACCCTGTGGAGCATGGTAAGGATATCCTTGATCAGAATACAGAAGTTATTGGGGGCCATTGGGGGAGCATGGAAGGGGGGATACCATATCTAGCGATATATATATTTTCGACTAACGATGTGAATTTGATACCGCAGGAAGCCTTGATCCATCTATTCTTAATGTACCAGTAAACCCGGATGATCCCTACGCCTCAGGCCTAGACAAGGTTTCCAAATACTACCTATACTACTGTAAGTATGCTATTATTCTTCCTAGCGCCGAAGTCTATCCCGAGTAAGCTTTAACTCCATATGCAGACAGCAAATGCGTATGCAAGCTGTTCGTTATGTACGACAGCAAGAGGAACCCCTTAAGAAGTCTAATACCCGCGGCATTGAGCAACCCAGTCTTATTAACGTCCATTGTCGCCCTTTCAGCACGTCATATGGCCAATGGAGACCAATCGTTCTATGAGCTTGGAACATCAACCTTTCCCACATTAAATGACGCGCAGCAAAATGCTCTTTGGTTTAAGTGCAAAGCTATACAAGAGATATCGTATGCTTTGAATGAGGAAAAATCATCCAAGCAAGATACGGTAGTCGCGAGTGCATTTCTATTGATCTTTCTGGATCTCTTGGAATCTGGAAGCGACAAGTGGAATGTTCATCTGGAAGGCGTCAAGAAATTGATTACTCAGATTCAACCATCCATGACATCACAGACAGGTGCTGAGCAGAGCCTTGGGGAGACTGTCGAAGGGATACGTAACTTTATCGTCAGGCAGATCCATTTGTAAGTGAGCCAGTGAATAATCTCCTGGTTTATAAATCCTCCTTGCTGACCACCATCATCATCAGAATCAACACACTTGGGGCAACATATACACGTCCTCAGCTATTGTCCAACACGCCCTTGCTACAACAGTCCACCACACCCCTCCAGATGAGTCTTGATCAGTCGTATCTAGGGTGCCCGGAGCTTATATTGGATGCTCTGCGCTCTTTTTCAATTTGTAGAGACATGCTCGCTGGCTCAGATCCCCTCGACAGAGGCAGCCTGGAATCATATACTGAAAACGTCAGCAGAGTACTTGGTCTAACGCAAACTTTTGACTCCCGGGCCTGGGTATCAGACCTACCACAACTACATACCCATTCGGCACATGATACAGATATGTTGTCAACATTGGGAGAGGCATATAAAGCTGGCACCCTCATATACGGCATACGCGTTCGAGATGCTCTTACCGGAAGTACAACACCCCTCAATGACTTGGTATGTGGATTGATTGCTATAATTGAGGCCATGAGGTGTGACGAATCATTATTCAAATGTATACTCTGGCCTATGTTTGTTGCGGGCTTAGAATCCCGACAGCAAGACCAACGGGACTTTGTCATCAGTTGTCTGGAGAAATTCTGGTTCGAGACAAAATGTATCAATGTGGTTAACGCTGCGAATATTTTGAGAAGGTTCTGGAAGATGGATGATACCCAGCAGACGTTGTCTTCGCAGTGGATATTTAACATCGGTCAACTGGGACGCGATTGGCTTCTTATATAAGGCACTAGTATACAGACGTCGCCTTCTCGTGGCCTCAGTTACAATGCACATAACTAAATAGAGTTCTACTATACCTATCCCCCTAGCCGTACTAGTTTATCCTTGTTTGAAGCACTCCATCATGAAGGACGCGTGTGACCTCTAGGACTTCCTAGAAAGGACATTATATTTCGTGGGGCAGTCTATAACGGAGATATGTCGGCGGAGCCACGGATTTGACTGAGTAAACTGAAACGGCGGCAGACATTTCTGTGTCTATAATATCAACGCCACATTCGTCATGAATATGAAGGCGAGACTCAAAAAAGGCTTGTTGTGATGATTGGTGGTCACAGCAGCCCCACACATATTTACTGCCCTTTATGGAAATAAATGCCCCACTAGGGTTGATGTATGTCATGCATCTTGCGACTTCAGTATCTGGTTCTTCAGATCATTGCTGAAGATGAATTATCACTAGAGGTTATAAATACCACTCATCTCTCCCCGTAGCTCTCAGCCTTCATTCCAGCAAGTGTCTTACAAGTGATTCTCTAACCCAATCTATTGCCCAACTTCACAAGTCTATTGACCCTTTTATTACCATGTCATCCACCAGGGCAGCTCAAGTCGAAGAATACGGCTGGACAGCTGTATCCTGCGACCCTCAGCAGCGAGCTGCTACAAGACCACCTAGAAAGCCCCCCGTTCCCCAGTTTGTCAAAGATACACATCTTCCCGATACCACTCTCGTCAAAGATGCCATGGAATATGTCAAGGCAGAGCTACCCGCCCACACCTTCAACCACAGCATGCGTGTCTACTATTACGGTACGAATGTTTCTCCTTCCCCAAAATCAATACTTCTGCCTACTTAACTATATTTCCAGGCCTTGCAATCGCCAGACAACACTTCTCAGAATGGAAGTTCAGCGACGAAACCTGGCTCCTCACCTGCCTCTTCCACGACATTGGCACCATCGACAAATACACCCAAGACGTCTTCATGTCCTTTGACATCTACGGTGGAATTGTCGCTTTGAACGTTCTTAAGGAGAAGGGTGCCCCAGCACCCCAAGCCGAGAGTGTCGCAGAGGCCGTCATTCGTCATCAGGATCCGGTCAAAGTTGGGACTATTCACTCTATCGGCTTACTTATTCAGCTCGCTACGCAGTTTGGTATGTCTATTTACTATCCTATACTAGGAGTGTTTATAGTTTCTGACAAGTATCTAGACAACCTTGGCGCTCACAAGGAGTATGTCCACCCCGATACGGTGGAAGATGTGAATCAGCATTATCCCCGTCGTCAGTGGTCGAAGTGCTTTTCGAGTAAGTTGAGGGAGGAAATTGGGCTCAAGCCTTGGTGCCATACTACTGCAGAGGGAGAGGGATTCCCTGTTGGGATTGAAAATAACACTCTGATGGAGCCTTATGATGGACGGTTTTGATCGAACTATGACCACAGATACCGTGGAATGTTTAATCTAGTTGATAAATAGACCGTTATACTACTATGCTCTCTTAAATGCATTAAGATATGTTGACGCGGGGTCCCAAGCAGGCCTAGCACTTACACGTTTCCTTCCTTAAACTTGTCGTTATCTAGGCTGAACCGTGAAGATACAGTCAACAACTCCTTTCCCTACGAGCTTTTGCCAATATATCCCCATTTCATTCATGTTGCAGCAGAATCTAGCTCAAGTGTTACACAGACATATTTTGAGAGGCAAGAATATGGTTTACAAAGAAGACAGGGTTTCAGTCCTTCGAGAGATCTCGCTCCAGTAAGGTCGGGGTGCCGCGAGGACAATGGCATTTGGTATCCATAATCATCTACCTACCTGTGGTCATCCTCTCTGCGGTTTACCAACGATGATTCGCCAGCAGTGATCCCTGTTGTACAGGAGGTGTGTATGACCATGAGAAGGAATTTGGTTGGATCGTGGGGTATCCTTACTCTCTAGGTTGCTAGGAGAATCAGCACAGGTCTGAGTGTTCCTCAGACCTTTTTGTGTTCGCTTTCATTGACCCAACGGGTGTCCTGGTGCCATCGCAGGTTATGGCCTTCACTAGCTCAGCGCCGTGTGCAGTGCTCTCATCGATCCACCGCCAGCATCTGGTCATTTCACCAACGCACTTGTAAAAGCCTATTCTCAAAGGTCACTATATCTTATGAAATATCTAGTGGAGGGGGGAAATGCCGATGCCAACTTACAAGTTAATAATGAGTGGGGGTCGCATGGCAATGCACTGGCCAACGCGGTTCGAGCACACAACTTGGACTTGGTTAAGTATTTAGTGACCGAGGCACATGCTGACGTCAATCTAGAGCTCCGGTTTGCATCCCTGGGCACCGCACTTGGTGTGGCCATTGAATCTCGTTCAACGGATATTGTCGGGTTCTTGATGGATGAGGGCAATGCGAATATGAACCTCCAGTTTACCCTGAAGACTTCAGGTTTCGGCAGTGCACTTGACTGTGCTATAGGGCGGTCCGGGACAGGGATTTTGGCATATCTGGCATCCCATAAAACAACAGATGCAAATATCGAGCATCTGCAAGGGCCTTACGCTAACCCATTAAGTCGTGCAATCTGTTATGGATATATAGACGATATTCAAATTTTACTGTCGGCCGGAGCATCAGTGGACTTCCGATGGAATAACGGATCACTTTTAAGAGTCCCACGGCCCGATCCAGATCCTTCAAGGCCTTTGTCTTATAATATGATAGTCTCTGATGCGGAAGAAAAGGCGGTAATTGATATTCTACGAAAGGCGGATCCAATCCAGTGGGATGATGAAGCTATAGAAAAAATACCTTGGGCCCTTTGGGAGTCAGAAGGGCCACTGTCGATATAGCTATCACCAAATTGTATATTGTTGATTATTGCACTAGGCACAGGATAATAATTACTAAAGCTGCATGAAACTCCACTGTTGCAATTATCCTCCGTGCTCATCTGTCAGCAGCCCGTGCATGAATAACTCACATGTATCGTCATGTTGCGTGGTGAAAGTTGAGGCAAATTATTATTAGTGCCTCGCACAGGTTACAAAACATCATTATCTACAGAGATAAGGAACTAGACCTTCTAATTGGCGGGATGTAGATCTCAAGTACACCAGGTATGAGTCTTCGATGTCCATATGGCGTCCTTTATGACCTGGCCAGGCTTACAGCTTGTCCAGCTCTTCATCCAATTATGCCACCTGTCAGTCAGGTGTACATTCCACCCAATGTTTGCCGAAAGTCAATCGAAAGTAGAGTGTAGAACCAGGCAATGCGTACCACGGTTTGAACCAAAAATAGTTATGATAGAGCTTTTTGACTGGAGCATAATCGGATTACCCAATCAGCAAGAAATCATAGCTCCGCAACTAACTATTAAATTCTTGTGTCAGTGGGCTGACTTCAAACGAGGCTCTTCATCAGCTATGCGAGTTCGAATCTCGGCCTGTGTCGACCTCGCTTCCATTTTCCAACGTCGGTAACTTAAATCTGGCTGTTTATCCAATTGAACGGGTCAATACTATTAATCTTTTGCGATCCAAAATCTAGACTCCTCTATATGCCATTGAGCATGTTGAGCTTAATCGCATCCTTGTAGTTAGAACAGTCTGGCCAAAAGCGATAGGTTATATATCAGTATACTCAATCGCATCCATCTATTCCCATCGCACACACACACACACACGCACACACCACTAAAGCCTCCTGTTACTATACCACTTCATAATCACCAAAATGCCAACCGGATCCTGCCTCTGTCAAACAGTCAAATACGAGTACGACGTGGAACCCGCCTTAAAGGTACCTATCAGTCCCCATTCTCCCTTGCATAATGACCACCCATGAGCTACACAAAGACAGCCAAAGCTCACTTTAAACTTTTAGGCTGTCTGTCACTGCCTAACCTGCCGCAAGCTCAGCAGTGGCAGCTCGGCGAATGTACTTATTCCGGATAACCATTTCCGAATCACATCTGGTTCCCCCAAAACGTACTCTATGATCCATGAGAGCGGGATGCACTTGACGACGCATTTCTGCGAGAACTGTGGAAGCTTGCTCTACAAGACGGGCGATCGCGAGGAATTTAAAGGATCAGTCATTGTTCTGGCCGGGACATTGGATCGTGCGGAAGATTTTGAGAAGGCTAAGCCGGACGCGGAGCTTTTTGCTAAGCATCGGGTGGGATGGTGGCCTCGTTTGGACTTTGCTTCGCAGATGAATAATTTTGATTAGGTATGACGATAGTCACTGCTAGTAGGAGTTTTGTTCGTTTGTTTTTGTTCCCTGCTTTTGTTGAAACGTGTGTCTTGCTTGTGTGTGGTGGCGATGCTGGTTTCCTTGTGGGCACTTGCTGTATGTCATGGTTGGTTCTTTATGGTTGTTAATAATCAGTCTAATGGAGCTCGGCTCTATAATGGTCTACTGCGAGGTACCTTGAGCTACTAGCCAGATTCGAGATAGCAAAAGTGTGATACCAATTCACTCGGTGTGATAGTTATGTCTTTGCTTGACCTGGAAGAGTTACTCCGAGTAAAGTCCACAAAACAACCTATATCATGTATAATGCACGGGTAGGAGCTCTAGATACGGCTACCTACCTTCTCGTCAAAGTGTAAGGCACAGCTTCCAACATGTTACACTTTATGGCATATCCAGGTCCCGTGAAATATCACTACAGCTCCACAGAAAGCATCCACCAACCCTGATGGAGCAACTCCACCGAGTTCCAGAATCCATATTGGCTCTAAGGGTAATAGAGCGTTTTTTTCAAACGGTCAGCTCCGCCGTCATGTCCAATTAGGGCATTTCGATGGTCCACACGAGACATCGCAGTACAACCAATCGTGACATTCTCACGAGCTGCTAGTATCGTTCAATTCGACGATTATGACAGCACTGAATAATCTCCCTTTCATTATCCGAGCAAGACAAGACGGTTGGTTCCTCGCCTATGTCAAGGATTGATGAATGCTAGCAATGTATCTAGTATAGTTCTGTAAGGTGGC